AGAGAGAGAGGAAAGGTTGAGCGATACAAGATTGGGTTACTACGTACCTGCTGCGCTGAAGATACCGCTACGGCGAGAGAGAGAGAGAGAGAGATGAGCGATACAAGTTTGGTTGTCACATACCGGTGAAGCGAGTTGTGCAGTTCCATGTGGAGGAAGAAGAAGCGGCCATAGCCGTGGAGCATCACCACGGAGTAGTGAAGGAGGGAGAGAAACCGGACAGAGGGGGAGAGACCGAGAAGGGAGAGAAAGCGGCCATAGCCGAGAGGTGAAAGGAAGGCCGATCAAAAAAAAAAAGAAAAAAAAAAAGAAAGAAGTAGAAGATAACCGGGGTGAAAGGAGGCGAGGAAGGTGAAAGAGAAGAAGGGGGTTGGCGAGGAACAGGAGCCGGCAGCCATAGCTGACCGGAGGGTTGACCAAGAGGGTTGATCGGAGGTGTTGACCCTATGGATGTGCACACACCCCTTGGTACTTGCGGAGTCAAGTCAGTCTGTCTATTCTTTATGCATTGAGTCTCTTCTGTCCTAGGTGATAGTACTCTGTGGATGAAGGATAGGGCCTAGATGACGAAACCCCTACCTGACTTAGTAGAGCTGATACCGTGTCTAATCTCACTGTCCCAGAGGCCTAACCCTCCCAAGGACCGGTGCTGATCGGCGGGGCTCGGATTGGGCGTGACACGGTGGGCTAGAACGGCGGAGTTGTGGGCTGACACAACAGGCAATCTTAAGTGTTGAGGGCCTTGTTGACCCAAACTTCTACCGGACCTAGTAAGGTTTAAGGCCGTGTCTGACGACTCGACTGTCCCGGAGGCCAAACCCTCCCAAGGACCGGTACTGACCGGCGGGCTGCTCGGTGTGGCACGGTAGGCCCGAAAGGCTGAGTTGTGGGCTGATGCAACAGGCCAGACCAAGCTGATCACGTCGTCCTGTTTGCGACATTAAATAATTCCTGCGGAGTTCGGGGATCTCCTTAAATGCCTCCTGACCAGCAAAAGGTCTAGTAGTGACAGCCATAGTTAGGTCTAGGCTAGTGATCCTAGTTGGTAGGATCCCTGTCAGGATTCTGTGAGTCATTAGATCGAGTCAGTAGGTTTGTGAGTCAGGGGTCATAGTCTACGTGGTGAGGTTTGAAAGCACTAATCCGGTTGTGCACTTTTCACCATGGTTGAGACCCGCAGTGGGAAGGACACTAACCCCTACACCAAGGAGCAGCAAGAGAAGATGGCCACCTTAGTTAAAGAAAATAGGGAGAGGAAAGAGCGCGACAAGCACGTGAAGTTGAAGGAATTGGAGGAGGAGATGGAGAAAAAGAAGAAGGCTGGTGAAGAAGAAGCGGCAGCAGAAGAAGAAAAAGAGAGAATGAGAATTGAGAGCGGAGAAGGGAGTACACGATGAAGAGGGAGATAGATTTAGAGATCGAGAAGAAGATCAGTGAGTGGGTCGCTAATTTATCGTTGGGAGAAGAGGAGGAGGCAGAGGATGAGAGGGCTGCGCTAGCCAGCGAGCTAGCAACAATGACAGATCCTATGGAAAGGCGAGAAAGAGAGGAGGAGCAGAAGTTGGCCTGGAAGCTGAGGATGAAGAGGGAGAAGAAGAGGAGGAGAGAGGAAATGAGCAAAATGACCGCAGAGGTAGCAAAGGTGCAGGCGTGCAGGCAGGAGGTGTTGACCCAGCCGGATGACAAGGCCAAGTGGGATAAGGTACTGGGGTACCTAGAGGTGTTGAGCAAAGCCTGGATGGAGGAGCACCAGGCCAGTTGGAGTCAAGACGTAGCGTTGAGTGCCATGCGGTAGGGGTTCAGAGACTTTGTGCGCGAGATCGTCACCCACATTGGGGGCAAAGTAAAGCAGTTGAGAGACAACGTAGGGAAGTTTTGTGAGGGCGCCATTGAGGGCGCTAAAGCCATAACCGCTGTAGAGGGCGAGGCCAGGCCTCGCAAGGACCCAGTCAAGCTCAAATTCCCGGATGCTTATGGAGGGAAGAAGGAAGAGAACTTTGACAATTGGGAAGCCAGTGTCAACAGTTATATATATTTACAGCATATCCTGTCCGAGGAGCAAGTCCTCGTGGCCTTTCAGGCCCTTAAGGATGAAGTGGCGAGTTTCGCTAGGTCCCTCGCGCGCGCAGCCGGTTGTGAAAACAACCTGGTTGCTTACTCCAAAGTTACCCCCCTTCCTCAATTCCTCAAGCTCCTGAAGGAGCGATTTGCTGACCCAGCGAGAGGCGTTCGCGCCTCTGATAAGCTACAAACGATCCACTCACGACAGTGGAGGAGTGCCAGGGCAAGGGTACAATGGACGACCTGGTGGCCGTCCCAGACCATGGGGTCACTGAGCCCCAATTGGTCCAATTATTCTATCGTGCCATTCCAGAGCCCCTGAGGGGGCATTTCTTTGACAAGTCTCAACAGGCCGGCATCACCTATGATGCGCCGAGTAGAGAAGTCGTCCTGTATGAAGTCCATGTCAGTTACCACCTTCTGGCACAAGGACTTAGAAAAGGGAAAAAGGTGGAAGGGTCGTACCATCTCAGGCCAAGTCAAGGGCAAGGATCACATGATCCTGACGTTAGAGGAAGGTAGTACTGATGAGGTCCCATACAGCCAGATAGAGTGGGACCTGGAGGAAGAGGATAGTAGTGTGGGACAAGGGAGGTCTTATGATGCTGTCGCGGCTGGAGGGAGGCCGTGGACCGGGCGCACAGTGGGTTGGTGGCCAAGGAAACCGCCAAGTGGGAGGTAGGGGTCAAGGTCCCCCGCCAAATCGCCAAGGTTCCAACCGATCCCCGCAGCTGTAGCGGACCTTGGGTTGGCCTGTGAGACCAGCCCCTTGGCCTGTTCTCACAGGCTTGTGTTATATTCGAGGTAGGCCAGTCCAGGCCGGTACCTCTGTCGGTACCAGCCAGTCCAGTCCAGTCCCGTCAGTCCGCTGGGGTATACCCCA